GAGAGAGAGTGTGTGTGTGTGTGAGTGAGAGTGTGTGTGTGTCCGAGCGCTGAGAAGAGATTGAAACACATTTACACAACACTGCGGTGATTCAAGACCAAAACATTCTTACACACACACACACACACACACACACACAAGGCTCTAGTACACACAACCACCACACTATTACACAACACTATGGTATACAACATAACATTTTATTATCTTAAAAAAAAAAAAAGTTACAAAATAATTTTCTTAGATTTTTCTGATAACAGTTGAGATTGCGACATAAAAAAATACCCAGGTTTGCTGCGCTGCGTTATATTCCAATTTCACAAAGAAGCGTGCAGCAACAACCTGATAAAACGACACCTTTTCATTTACTGTATAATGTCTTCAATCGCTTTCTGTTAGAAAAATTGTGAGAGAATCGAATCGTGAGTTGAGTGAATCGTAACTCATAAAAACATATGTTTTACAGTCAGGCGAGCACTAAAATATTGACGTTCTTGTGCTTCTTGCAGCTCAGAGAAAGGCGTCAGAAGGCCTCTAATTCTGCGGTTTCATCCAGAGTAAACAGACTTCACGCCGTTACGACCCAACATTATTCAAGAAATAAAGAACAATTTACAGCAGATTAGCCTTCCACCCAACCAATAAGAGCCGATTACACCGTTATTGAGTAACAGCGAATCTCATGCATAATCTACAGGAGCCGGACCTGCGGGGCCCCTCAAACTCGAGGGCGATCCTTTACAGAAATATTATCCTGCGGGCGGATCGATGCGGCAGACTGAATTATTCCTCGTTACACACAGGTCAGAGTCTGCAGTCACAGCTTTACTCTGAACTCACTCAGCTTCAGCGGCCGAAAGCGAAGGCCATCACACATCTGCCTTCTCTGTGAAAACACCAGCGGGCACCGAACACACACCACTTCATTCTTTAGTTTCACATCTCTCACCGCATAATAAACGTCTGTTCAGCTCGGCGTTTGTTCCCTGCGCTGTGCTCAGTGCTGATGCATGCTGGGTAGAAACTCATGAATCCAGATACTGACCCTGTGCTGTACACATGATAACTCAATGCAACAATCGCATCAGCATTAATAAAAGTTTGCTAGTAGACGGTGATGATCATAATTCAAACTTTCCACAAATCATCTACTGAACTGCATGCATTTTATAATGGCTGACGGACGCAACTCATTAGCATATCATTTGCATATCAACCCCGATTGGATATTCAGCAGCTTGGTGGGTAGTGGCTCATTTCGTATGCGAAGAGGTTAGCCAATCACAGAGCTCAACTTTTAAAGGTTATTAACAGAATAAAACATTTATTTATATTTTTTAAGATCTCTATATAGTTTTTTTAATTAATTTTATTTCTTAGTTTCAGTTTATGTTCATTTTAGATATTTAAGTACTTCATTTGCATATCAACACCTATTGGCTATTCAGCAGCTCGGTGGGTAGTGGCTCATTTCGTATGCGCAGAGGTTAGCCAATCACAGAGCTCTAGTTCTTAAAGATACAGTGGTTTCATTTTTGGAATGACCATCAAAAACTAAACTATTAAACGATGCCTTTAAAAAACACGTCATACTTGAGTTATTAAATTTTAAAATAGAAATTAAATAAGATATTTAAGAAACATTCCAAAAATAAATTTAGATAAACTTTAAGGTTATTAACAGAATAAAACATTTATTTATATTTTTTAAGATGTCTATATCGTTTTTTAAAATAAATTTTATTAGTTTGTTCAATTTAGATATTTAAGTACCTTATTTGCATATCAACACCTATTGGATGACTGCAAACATTTTATAATGGCTGGCAACACAACTCATTAGCATATCATTTGCATATCAATTGGATATTCAGCAGCTTGATGGGTTGTAACTCATTTCGTATGCGCAGAGGTTAGCCAATCACAGAGCTCAATAACAGGTCGAGTTCTTAAAGATACAGCAGCAAAAACAGGCCGTTTAATTTTAGGGATGATCTTAAAAAAAAAACTAAATTAACTATTAAATTATGATTTGGCAAATGTTTTAAGTGGACTTCAGGGGAAGATAAAAGTTTATTTGCATATCAACACCTATTGGATGACTGCAAACATTTTATAATGGCTGGCAACACAACTCATTAGCATATCATTTGCATATCAATTGGATATTCAGCAGCTTGGTGGGTTGTAACTCATTTCGTATGCGCAGAGGTTAGCCAATCACAGAGCTCAATAACAGGTCGAGTTCTTAAAAGATACAGCAGCAAAAACAGGCCGTTTAATTTTAGGGATGATCTTAAAAAAAAAACTAAATTAACTATTAAATTATGATTTGGCAAATGTTTTAAGTGGACTTCAGGGGAAGATAAAAGCAATAGAAGTAGAAGTAGAATATAAGCTCTTAAAGAATAAAATGAATGGCATGATTATGCTGGAGATAATTATGGAAGTTTTACTTCCTGTTCAGAGCATCTGACAACTAAAAACAAAAAGAGGAAGTGCTTTTCTATCACTCTTTCTGTCCGTTTCAGTCATGTGACTCTTCCTCTCATCTATCTTTATGAGCATCAGTGTGGGAAAGTAAAGGAGTGAATACAAGAATCCAGCTTCAACAGCTATTTTCATGGTGCAAATCATTATTACAATTTAAAATATAAACTAAATTAGATATTTAAGATTTTTTACCCCAAAAAATTCCAAAACGTTTGCCTTTTGCAGTTTTACATCCACACATTAACCGTAATTAAAACTGGAAAATACGGCCGATCACAATTAATCGCGGATCATTTAGAAAATCAATCATATGAAACTTTCTACTTAATGTAAAGCATTAACAATGACTTAACCATGAGAATATTTTTAATTATTGAAATAAACATTCCGAAGCTTAATCACTACTGACGCTTTTATAATTTATTTTAATTGTGATTTTTTTTGTCATATGAAATATTTAAATAATGTACAAGTAATGGATATAAATAAATAAATAAAAATCAATGTAATAATAATAATGCTACCAACAAATGATTATAATAATAATAATAATAATTTTTAAGGGGAAAAAAAAAAAATCACAAGTTTTCATCGAAAGGGCTTGCTTTTGATTTGATTAAAAGATAAATTAATATAATATTTTATGCCGTCATTTGAATACCAGAAAAATTAAAATAAACAAAAAAAAGAATATAAAAAAAATCATAGGTCCCTATTATCATAAAGGGTAAAAAAAACACTGTAAAAAAAAAAAAAAAAAAAAAGCTTTAATTAAAATGTTATTAATCAAACCATTTGCAATTAATTAGACATACTTTTTGGTTACTAAAACAATTAAATGTCCAGAAAGCTTAACACGGGGGGACAACATTTAATTTGGAAGAAAACTAACAGAATTTTGGGAAAAAAAGAAAGAACGTATTTCATAGGGCCCTATTACTGGTGTATCTCTAACAAAGGAAGTAAGTTCCTCCCCAACTTCCTGTTTGAGTACAGGACGACTCCAGAAAGCCCTGCACTCGTCTAGTGACCCGATGGAGAATAAGCTGAAATATTCCTCCACAAACGCCTGATCAGTGCTCAGCATGTGAGCGGCGCAGAGGAGATGTGTGTGTTGTTGTGTAATCTCAAAGGGGATCTCAGTGAAGAATGTGCAGCGCTGTGCTGCATTACATAACCCCGTCTGACCCTGCGGATGCCCCCGTTTACAGCCGCGCTCAGACGCTTTCAGCTTCAAAACCCACAAACAAAAGCTCTTTCTCTGAACGCTACGACAACATACACAACACAACACAACAGCAGAACTGTGCAGCCGGCAGAGAGTCTGAGCAGCAGTGTCCTAAACAAGTCGACACGAGGAGGGGGGTTTATTAGGCACAATAGGAACATTAAACAACCGGTCACTTTAATATAGATTTCTACAGACGCGTTCATATTGGCTGTTTTTTATTTTCAACACACACTCACTGTAAAAACAAATCTAGGGCACAATGTGCTATATTAATATGAAGGAATTTTCCATATTTATCTTTTACAAATCTTTTATCTGTATTTTGTGAAAAAGTGTTTTATTGGACATTACTGGATAATGTCCTGGCAGAAAATTACTAGTATATTTTCCTTAACCCCCTCTTTCTTTTTACAGTGTAGAATTTATTAAATAATATTATATTATTAAATAATTTTAATTAAATAATTTAGGAGTCTTGGCTATTTTTTTATTATTAAATTATAATTCTAAAAACGTAAAAATAAAATTAAATATTTTTAATATTATTTTAAGTTTATTAAACAAAGCATAAATAATTTATTACATTATTTAAATCATTTTAATTATGATTAGTTATGCGTGTATTAGTATGATTTTTGTGATGATGAAGTTGATTTTGCAGTATTTAAAATAATTTCACTGGATTATCCCAAAATATAAACAAATATATTGCTATTAAATTGCATTTTTGATAATAAAAAATAATTCTAAATAAGCTAAATAGTTTAAAATTATTAAAACACTTGTGTAATAGATTTGTTTAATATAAATATTATATTAAATATAAACATTTTAATAATTAATAAATAAAAAAGATCAAAACATATCATTTAATTTAATTATATAATACTGTATTATTTTAATTATATAATTTATATAATTCTTTTATTTTGAACACAAGTGTTTCATAATGTGAATCACTGGATTATCCCACAATATGCACATATCATTTTTGTTGAATTTCCATTGGAAAAATGTGATGTATAGCATTACTGTCACCTATTATATCACACTGTGATGTAAGATTTTGCTCAGCCGCCCACCTGTATCACACACACACACACACAGACACGGACAGAGAGACACACTCACAGACACAGACACAGACACACTCACAGACACAGACACACTCACAGACACAGACACAGACACACACACACACACACACACA